CACAAAATGAACGAGTTACACAAAACGGCATTTTGTAACGTATTACATACAATATTTTTTCTAATTATGACTAGATTACCAATTCATTAAATTAAAATTACTAAATAATATTTTAAGTTTCATTGACCAAATATATTTTTATATAAGCAATAATATTCCTTTCTTCGATATAAACTTTCAAAGTAATGTATATTATTGATTTTAAAACAGGTTTATTTTTGTTTTCTTTCGCAACTAGTAACCTAATGGTCTTTATGTAACTATAGTTTTAATATCTCATGACCATCCCTACAATACACGTCGACCTGATGCTATTTTATTTCCGCGATCTGAAAAAAGTATTGGCCAAAGATGTAGTGATTATCTGGCTCCTAGAATTTTTGTTTTGATACCTCAAGAAATAAAGGACATTTCTTTGTACAGCAGATACAAAAATAAACTAAAAATCTGGCTCCAAAAAGAGCGTAAATTAGCAAGTGATGCTATAAATCAGATTTAAAAATTTTAAAATTTAAAAATATGTATATGTATCTTTCTCTCCATAAAAACTGTCACGATAATAAGATTGGTCTATTTCTTTATGTTTTTATTTATATTATCTTTCTATTTTTAATATTTTAATTGTTATTTGTAATCTAATTTGTATTTGCATTTTATATTTTTTTAGGTTTGTTCTAATTTTAAAAAATTATTTAAATTTATGTTGTTGGGTTTTATAGGGACATATATGCTTTGTATGTATTGTATATGTGCCTTATCACATACAAGCAGTTTTAAACTGCTTCTGTGATTGCCCCCTATTGTTTATTTAATTTTTTTTTAACTGTATATGTATCAATGTATTATCTGAATAAACATTATTATTATTATTATTATTATTATTATTATTATTATTATTATTATTATTATTATTATTATTATTATTATTATTATTATTATTATTATTATTATTATTATTATTATTATTATTATTATTATTATTATTATTATTATTATTATTATTATTATTATTATTATTATTATTATTATTATTATTATTATTATTATTATTATTATTATTATTATTATTATTATTATTATTATTATTATTATTATTATTATTATTATTATTATTATTATTATTATTATTATTATTATTATTATTATTATTATTATTATTATTATTATTATTATTATTATTATTATTATTATTATTATTATTATTATTATTATTATTATTATTATTATTATTATTATTATTATTATTATTATTATTATTATTATTATTATTATTATTATTATTATTATTATTATTATTATTATTATTATTATTATTATTATTATTATTATTATTATTATTATTATTATTATTATTATTATTATTATTATTATTATTATTATTATTATTATTATTATTATTATTATTATTATTATTATTATTATTATTATTATTATTATTATTATTATTATTATTATTATTATTATTATTATTATTATTATTATTATTATTATTATTATTATTATTATTATTATTATTATTATTATTATTATTATTATTATTATTATTATTATTATTATTATTATTATTATTATTATTATTATTATTATTATTATTATTATTATTATTATTATTATTATTATTATTATTATTATTATTATTATTATTATTATTATTATTATTATTATTATTATTATTATTATTATTATTATTATTATTATTATTATTATTATTATTATTATTATTATTATTATTATTATTATTATTATTATTATTATTATTATTATTATTATTATTATTATTATTATTATTATTATTATTATTATTATTATTATTATTATTATTATTATTATTATTATTATTATTATTATTATTATTATTATTATTATTATTATTATTATTATTATTATTATTATTATTATTATTATTATTATTATTATTATTATTATTATTATTATTATTATTATTATTATTATTATTATTATTATTATTATTATTATTATTATTATTATTATTATTATTATTATTATTATTATTATTATTATTATTATTATTATTATTATTATTATTATTATTATTATTATTATTATTATTATTATTATTATTATTATTATTATTATTATTATTATTATTATTATTATTATTATTATTATTATTATTATTATTATTATTATTATTATTATTATTATTATTATTATTATTATTATTATTATTATTATTATTATTATTATTATTATTATTATTATTATTATTATTATTATTATTATTATTATTATTATTATTATTATTATTATTATTATTATTATTATTATTATTATTATTATTATTATTATTATTATTATTATTATTATTATTATTATTATTATTATTATTATTATTATTATTATTATTATTATTATTATTATTATTATTATTATTATTATTATTATTATTATTATTATTATTATTATTATTATTATTATTATTATTATTATTATTATTATTATTATTATTATTATTATTATTATTATTATTATTATTATTATTATTATTATTATTATTATTATTATTATTATTATTATTATTATTATTATTATTATTATTATTATTATTATTATTATTATTATTATTATTATTATTATTATTATTATTATTATTATTATTATTATTATTATTATTATTATTATTATTATTATTATTATTATTATTATTATTATTATTATTATTATTATTATTATTATTATTATTATTATTATTATTATTATTATTATTATTATTATTATTATTATTATTATTATTATTATTATTATTATTATTATTATTATTATTATTATTATTATTATTATTATTATTATTATTATTATTATTATTATTATTATTATTATTATTATTATTATTATTATTATTATTATTATTATTATTATTATTATTATTATTATTATTATTATTATTATTATTATTATTATTATTATTATTATTATTATTATTATTATTATTATTATTATTATTATTATTATTATTATTATTATTATTATTATTATTATTATTATTATTATTATTATTATTATTATTATTATTATTATTATTATTATTATTATTATTATTATTATTATTATTATTATTATTATTATTATTATTATTATTATTATTATTATTATTATTATTATTATTATTATTATTATTATTATTATTATTATTATTATTATTATTATTATTATTATTATTATTATTATTATTATTATTATTATTATTATTATTATTATTATTATTATTATTATTATTATTATTATTATTATTATTATTATTATTATTATTATTATTATTATTATTATTATTATTATTATTATTATTATTATTATTATTATTATTATTATTATTATTATTATTATTATTATTATTATTATTATTATTATTATTATTATTATTATTATTATTATTATTATTATTATTATTATTATTATTATTATTATTATTATTATTATTATTATTATTATTATTATTATTATTATTATTATTATTATTATTATTATTATTATTATTATTATTATTATTATTATTATTATTATTATTATTATTATTATTATTATTATTATTATTATTATTATTATTATTATTATTATTATTATTATTATTATTATTATTATTATTATTATTATTATTATTATTATTATTATTATTATTATTATTATTATTATTATTATTATTATTATTATTATTATTATTATTATTATTATTATTATTATTATTATTATTATTATTATTATTATTATTATTATTATTATTATTATTATTATTATTATTATTATTATTATTATTATTATTATTATTATTATTATTATTATTATTATTATTATTATTATTATTATTATTATTATTATTATTATTATTATTATTATTATTATTATTATTATTATTATTATTATTATTATTATTATTATTATTATTATTATTATTATTATTATTATTATTATTATTATTATTATTATTATTATTATTATTATTATTATTATTATTATTATTATTATTATTATTATTATTATTATTATTATTATTATTATTATTATTATTATTATTATTATTATTATTATTATTATTATTATTATTATTATTATTATTATTATTATTATTATTATTATTATTATTATTATAATGTCATTTTGACTTATGCTGCTATTACAAAAAATGTGACTTTTTATATCAAAAAACACGTTATGAAATACCTTATTTTATGTAACGAGTAAATGTTTGGGGAACGAGCAGAGCGAGCTCCCGCAAAATGAACGAGTTTCATAAATAGCAATTGTATGGCAAGTCTTAGAGCTATCACATACTTTTGCCGTTTTTAAGTTGTAACGTGCATCCCCGTTTTGTTATAAAAATATACACTGCATAGACTAGGTTTTTCATGAATTCATAATTAATAGGTACACCGTACGTCTAGCCTATCTGTGCCTGTAACATTTTGAAGGTGAAAACACTTAGGCCTCACTAGGCACTATGCACCCTCCTAATTTTATATAGACACCTCTTAGATCGTGAGCCAGCCTGCAGATTTACGTCTAGCCTAAATTGCGACTTTCTATTTTCAGATTAAAATGTCTCAAAAGAAAATAAAAACCTCCTTTATTTGGAATTTTTTCACGGAAAAGCCCAATACGGATTCTTTGGCAGTTTGCAACATTTGTAAGCAAACATTAAGCTATAAATCTAGTTCCAATAATTTAAAGAAGCATATAACTAGAAAGCACCCGACTATTAATATAAATTTAGCTTCAAAAAGTCATATAAATCGTTCTCGCTCCCGATCTCCAATAAATTCCAATTCTACAGTTCAGACTGAGCCTCAACCATCAACATCCCGTGAAGCTAACATTGAAGTTGCTAATGATGATGCTATCGATAAGGCAAATTTAGAAAACAAAAAACACTCATCCCAATTAACAGTTACCTCTTTTTTGAGAAAGAAAATGGGTCCCTTTTTTGAGAAAGAAAATGGGTCCTTTTAAAAAGAAGATTGATGAATGTCTGATTTTATTATTCACAAATGATTTCCAACCATTTTGTTGAAGATTACGGTTTTAAGAAATTCGTGTCAGCATTAAATCCGTCATACGAATTGCCTTCCAGAAAGACCATTTCAAATACGTATTTGCAAGCACATTATGAAGAAGCCTACAATGAGTGCACAAACTTATTAAATAAAGTTGAAGCCGTCACCCTAACAACGGATTGTTGGACCTCTAAAAATTGTGAAAGTTTTATGGCGGTTACAGCACATTTTATAAATAACGACTTTGAACTTCAGAGTGTATTATTGGACTGTTCTTCTTTTGGGGAAACCCATACAAGCGAAAATTTGGCTAACGCGTTAAAAAAAATTATTTTGGAATGGAAGTTGGACGGTAAAATTTTGATGATCATTTCAGATAATGCAGCGAACATTTGCAAGGCTATAAAAGAACTTCTAAAAATTAAACATTTCGGTTGGTACGCGCATACAATTAATCTTATTGCTCAAGATGCGCTAAAACAGGTATCTAAAATACTAGAAAAAGTAAAGTTAATTGTATCGCATTTTAAAAGAAGTACTTCGGCAATGTCCAAACTTATTGAACAACAAAGCCAACTAAATACAAATAAAGCCGCGAAGAAACTTATCCAAGATGTGACGACTCGGTAGAACTCTACGTATTATAATATGGTTGGACGTTTTACGGAACTCAAGGAACCCCTTAGATCAACAATGGCCTTAATAAATAAAGATCTTCCAATAATTTGTCTGGAGGAATGGGATTTTCTTAGGCAAATTATTAACGTTTTAAGGCCTTTGGAGAACATAACTAATGTTATGAGTGGGGAACGGTATTTAACAGCATCATCGGTTATCCTATTAACGGATGGACTGTTAAACGTTTTTGAAACGTTACAAAAACAAGACTTTATGCCTGAGATCCAGTCAGTAATAACAACCATAATTCAAGGCATTAAAACAAGATTAGGTGATCTAGAAAGTAGTTTATCTTTAACTTTAGCAACATTTTTAGACCTTAGGTTTAAAAATCTTGGATTTTCAAATAACCAGGTACCCGAGAGAGCAAAAATGAATGTAATAGCTTATGTAACCCAAATAATCAACAGTAAAAAAAAAGAATCATCCCTGGAAAATGTTCCAAAGCAAAAAGCCGTTCCAGAAGGAATGTCTATATGGGATCGCTTTGAAAAAAAAAATGAATCTTTTTAGCCCAGTGGAATCGCACAATCAAAAGCCATTATTGAAGTACAAAGGTACTTAGAAGAGCCTCCGATTTCGAAAGAGCAAGATACTCTAAAATTGTGGAAAAACAACGCCTATAACTTCCCAAATTTAGCCGAAGTCGTTAAAACAAAAGTCGTCACTATAGCCACATCCGTACCCTGTTAGAGAATGTTCTCAAAATCAGGACAAATTCTGACTGATAGAAGAACTAGATTAAGTGCCACCAAAGTTAAACAGATATTGAGTCCTTAATTTATTTTTGTTAAGTAGGTAAATATTTTTTTTAATATGTATGATTTTTATGAATACCTAACTTTGTTTTTCGTTTTCAATGAATTATATTTTTTTACCTATCTGATAATTTTAAAACCGAACTGTTTTGTATTCAATTTTTGTTTTTAAATATGTAGAGGTAGTTTTAATTTTGTTTCGAAGCTTTATTTACTGTATTTTGTGTTCCTTAAGTTTTTCTAAGATCTAATAATTATATTATGTATACGTGTATTAGTTTTTTATTATGAAAATTTTTAATTTAAAACTTTTTTTATTTTTTTTTTTAATTAACTATTTCTTTTATGTTCCGAAATATGTTCTATATTCTAATTTTAATACGTTTTATGTTTATTTTTTGAGTTAATCAGAATTTTTAATACAACTTTGACCGTCACGAATTAAATATGTAGGTATATCAATCATATCGCAAAATAAAATACAGATGCCATTTAGTCCTGTCCTGCCGTATTATTTGTACCGCCCGCCCGGAGCGTATTTTGATACCTCCTAAAGTGGCATACACAGAACGATGTCTGTCGCTGGCGACAGATTTTGACACACCCCCACTCTTTAACATTTTTGACATCGCATATGTCAAAAAGTGTTTGTGTCAATTGCGAAAGAAGCGGTAAGTTTAAATTTTTGTATACATTTTGAAAATAGTGTCGAAAAGATCCCTTTAAACTTTGCTTTATTTTAATACTATGAAGGTAAAACAAATTGTATTAATTTGGAAAATGTGGCAAAATATGCAAGCAAAAAAGAAAAGAAAAGCAAGAAGGTACTTTTTATTTGGAATATATTATTTTGTTTCCTTGATATCAACTACTTTTTAGAATTTGGGTCCTCCCAATATTTTCAAAAGAAGCTAGGCAGGCGTATGGTGCAGGTGCAAATTTAACTGCTGAAGTACAATTAAATGTAACAAAAAAATATTACAACTATTTCCGAATGGATTTAGAAACTTTCAGTTATTTGTTATCTTTGGTAGGCCCAAAAATTGCTAGAGTCGAGTTTCGCAGAGAACCGATTAACTCCCAAACAAGACTGGGTATAACCTTAAGGTAGCTATTTAAAGTGATTCAATTTATAGTTATACCCATGTAAAATGAACTGATAACTCAATGCAGTCAGTATTAGTTATGTGTCCATTGACCGTCCTGGCAGATCCAAGACAATTTATATTCCCTACCTGCTGTCCCTAAATATGATATTCATATTTTAATTTCAGATACTTAGCAACAGGAGACAGTATAGTCAGTCTATCCTATTTGTACCGCATAGGCGTAAGTACTGTCTCAGAAATTATAAATGAGACTACAAAATCTATATGGGAAGTGCTTCAACCACTAGTATTAGGTCCACCAAAAGAGGAAGACTGGCTAGAAATAAGCAGAGGATTTGAAAGGAGATGGAATTTTCCTAATTGTATAGGTTCCATTGATGGAAAACATATAAAAATTCAGGTATTCACCTATGCAATTTTTGAAATTAATATATAACGAATAATAAATTTTAATTTTAGTCTCCACCAAACTCAGGCAGTGCATTTTATAATTACAAAGGATATCATTCCATTGTGTTAATGGCTATTTGTGATTATAAATATCAGTTTTCACTAATTGATGTTGGAGCCAGTGGCCGTCAGAGTGATGGAGGCGTTTTTGCATCTAGTGAATTTGGGAGAAGGATGAATAGAGGAGATTTAAATATTCCCGATGATAAAAAAATATCTGAAGGCAGAAGGGAATTACCATTTATTATTGTTGGGGATGAAGCATTCCCCCTACTTCCAAATTTATTAAAACCTTACCCCAGAAGTAGGGCACTTGATGTAGATGAATTAGTATTTAATTATAGACTTTCAAGGGCAAGTTTAGTCATTGAAAATTCATTTGGTATTCTCACAAGTAAATGGCGTATATTTTCAAGGACCATTATTGCCAAATTAGAAAATATTGAAAATATAGTAAAAGCCACTATATGCTTACACAATTTAATTATTAAAAAAAGAAATTGTTATTTAACACCAAATTTAGTTGATAGGGAATTAAATGACAATATTATCCCAGGATCTTGGAGAAAACATAATTCAATATTTACACCAATAAACAAAATAGGAACAAACAGATTTAAAAAAAATACTAAGTTGATAAGAGATACATTTAAAGATTATTTTAATGAAGAAGGAGCAGTATCTTGGCAATGGGAACGTATTTAATAAAATTAGTATTATTTTTAAATATTTTATTTTAAATATTTGGTCACCTTGGCTATAATTTCCAATATTTTTATTTTTAAAGGGGTTCTTGCATTAGGTGGGAAACTCTTGGCAAGGGGAACGTATTTAATAAAATTAATATGATTTTTAAATATTTTATTTTAAATATTTGGTTTCAGCCTCGGCTATAATTTCTAATATTTTTATTTTTAATGGGGTTCTTGCAATAGGTGGGAAACTGTCTAAACTGGCTGCAATTTCCGTACCAAAATGCTGACTTGGTGTCAATTGTTGTTGTTGGTTGTTGGTTGTTGGTTGTTGGTTGTTGGTTGTTGGTTGTTGGTTGTTGGTTGTTGGTTGTTGGTTGTTGGTTGTTGGTTGTTGGTTGTTGGTTGTTGGTTGTTGGTTGTTGGTTGTTGGTTGTTGGTTGTTGGTTGTTGGTTGTTGGTTGTTGGTTGTTGGTTGTTGGTTGTTGGTTGTTGGTTGTTGGTTGTTGGTTGTTGGTTGTTGGTTGTTGGTTGTTGGTTGTTGGTTGTTGGTTGTTGGTTGTTGGTTGTTGGTTGTTGGTTGTTGGTTGTTGGTTGTTGGTTGTTGGTTGTTGGTTGTTGGTTGTTGGTTGTTGGTTGTTGGTTGTTGGTTGTTGGTTGTTGGTTGTTGGTTGTTGGTTGTTGGTTGTTGGTTGTTGGTTGTTGGTTGTTGGTTGTTGGTTGTTGGTTGTTGGTTGTTGGTTGTTGGTTGTTGGTTGTTGGTTGTTGGTTGTTGGTTGTTGGTTGTTGGTTGTTGGTTGTTGGTTGTTGGTTGTTGGTTGTTGGTTGTTGGTTGTTGGTTGTTGGTTGTTGGTTGTTGGTTGTTGGTTGTTGGTTGTTGGTTGTTGGTTGTTGGTTGTTGGTTGTTGGTTGTTGGTTGTTGGTTGTTGGTTGTTGGTTGTTGGTTGTTGGTTGTTGGTTGTTGGTTGTTGGTTGTTGGTTGTTGGTTGTTGGTTGTTGGTTGTTGGTTGTTGGTTGTTGGTTGTTGGTTGTTGGTTGTTGGTTGTTGGTTGTTGGTTGTTGGTTGTTGGTTGTTGGTTGTTGGTTGTTGGTTGTTGGTTGTTGGTTGTTGGTTGTTGGTTGTTGGTTGTTGGTTGTTGGTTGTTGGTTGTTGGTTGTTGGTTGTTGGTTGTTGGTTGTTGGTTGTTGGTTGTTGGTTGTTGGTTGTTGGTTGTTGGTTGTTGGTTGTTGGTTGTTGGTTGTTGGTTGTTGGTTGTTGGTTGTTGGTTGTTGGTTGTTGGTTGTTGGTTGTTGGTTGTTGGTTGTTGGTTGTTGGTTGTTGGTTGTTGGTTGTTGGTTGTTGGTTGTTGGTTGTTGGTTGTTGGTTGTTGGTTGTTGGTTGTTGGTTGTTGGTTGTTGGTTGTTGGTTGTTGGTTGTTGGTTGTTGGTTGTTGGTTGTTGGTTGTTGGTTGTTGGTTGTTGGTTGTTGGTTGTTGGTTGTTGGTTGTTGGTTGTTGGTTGTTGGTTGTTGGTTGTTGGTTGTTGGTTGTTGGTTGTTGGTTGTTGGTTGTTGGTTGTTGGTTGTTGGTTGTTGGTTGTTGGTGTTGGTTGTTGGTTGTTGGTTGTTGGTTGTTGGTTGTTGGTTGTTGGTTGTTGGTTGTTGGTTGTTGGTTGTTGGTTGTTGGTTGTTGGTTGTTGGTTGTTGGTTGTTGGTTGTTGGTTGTTGGTTGTTGGTTGTTGGTTGTTGGTTGTTGGTTGTTGGTTGTTGGTTGTTGGTTGTTGGTTGTTGGTTGTTGGTTGTTGGTTGTTGGTTGTTGGTTGTTGGTTGTTGGTTGTTGGTTGTTGGTTGTTGGTTGTTGGTTGTTGGTTGTTGGTTGTTGGTTGTTGGTTGTTGGTTGTTGGTTGTTGGTTGTTGGTTGTTGGTTGTTGGTTGTTGGTTGTTGGTTGTTGGTTGTTGGTTGTTGGTTGTTGGTTGTTGGTTGTTGTTGTTGGAGTACCTGAGGATTTTCCAGTGGCCCCATACTTTTTAGAGTTGATAAAAAAGCTTCATCTGCCTCTGTTAAATTATTTTTTTTCTTTTTGTATGGCGTTTTGGATTGCGATGGTTCTAAATCCTCCGAATCTCCTTCCAAATATGTAGTGGAACTCCTAAAATAATAATTTATTTGACTAGGCATTAAGTCAGTATTAAAGTGAGTATAACATGAGACAATACATATTCACTTAAGTATTCTAAAATGGCTAGCATCAGAGCTGTCCTTAACCATTTTTTATTAATTTGCGTTTGGTTGGCTGTAAGAAAAAAATGTACAGCAGATCAACATTTTTTTATGTCCCACCATAGTCAACATGTTAATAGATGAAATTATCTTTTTTAATAATAGTTTAGAAACTTCTACCTACCTTTGGTTTTCCATGAAATCATCAAGAAATTCTAACATTTCATAATTTCTATGGCGTTTTTTTAATTTATTAGCTTCTAGTCTCTCTTCAGCTGAAGCCCCTGAAGGTATTTTTTTTCTTATATTATTCCTTGCTCTTATATAAGAATCTCTAATATTTTTCACACTTTTTTTTATTTCGTCCGTTGTCATGGCAACTAAAACGTTTAATATTAAGAATTGCTGTTAAGTTTCAAAGATCAATACATTTTAGTTGATTTTATTTTGTATTAATATATGTTTTTTATTCCTTATTGTTTAACGCGCAGTTGCAAGAAGCTTTGTTAAATCTCTCATTAACTAATGTTTATTAGACTATGTGTAATTTGGCGTTGATGTGATTGAATCAGGTCATATTCGCTAGCTCTGTCAAAGTTTATTATTATTGACAGAGCCTGAGAATGTGATCTGCCTTAATGCCATTGACATTAAATTACGCATAGTCTAATAAACATTAGCTATTGAGAGATTTAACAAGCCTTCTTGCAACTGGGCATAAGCCTACAATTTTAAGTAAATTATTTTATGTTAAAAAATTATAAAATATATTAAATGTTACTAATCAATACCTGAAAATGATTAAAATTATTTTTTGTTTTATATCCTACCTCCTAATTCGTCAATTATTTCCTGCCACAATGACCTTATGGAATCTATAGTACCTCTATCTTTTAGAGGCATTCTGTAATCCCACAATTGTGCCCTTGCCTGAACAAGAGGTATCAAGTATTCCTCATCTTCAGGGCAGATATCCCTTTTCCCGTAAAGAGGCTTATTTTCAGTATCATTTTCTCCAGCGCTTGGCTCAATTAAACCATTTTCACACATGGTGTCATATTTCTGACATAATTGCAAAAATGCATTCTCATCTAAAATTGAAAAATGTATTACTTTCAGGCTAAGTTTTTTAGTTTGTATATATTACGATGTACATGCTAAAATCCTACCTGAATTTATCTCATCCACTTCTTGCTGACTAAGATTAATCTCGTAAGTATTTCTACTTGTTGGACTTGTTATACGAAAAAACTCCATTTTAAACTTAAAATCCAATGAATATCCAAAAGAAACAAAGTACAAACTACAAATCATGTAAAATATAAACCATGGAGGAAGGATAAACTAAACTCTTTTATACTTTTATTACCAAAGCAAAGCCAAAACTCTAAAACTAACCTCACTTATCAAAAAGAGGGGTAGTTCTATTTGACAGATTTCAGCAGTAGAAAAGTGGGAGCAATAAATAGAAGAGGGGAAAGTGTCGTCAGCGACAGACATCGTTCTGTGTATGCCACTTAAAACCTACATGATTTTACTGCAACTGGCAACTTCACATATACCTACGAACATCGCGAGTCGCGATTATCGCGTTCTCCACTCGAGGAACGGGATACGGTAAAAGAATATGCGGTATGTGACGTGATACAGAACATTTCGCTATTTGGTCTCTTGGTCTTGGTAGTTCCAAAGTAACTGGATACTTGAATGGTATGGAGCGCGACGAGACGGTATCGAAAAAACAGTTACGCGAATACCGACACATCCTTACAAAATATTACATTTATTTTACAACTTAACTAATATAAAGGCCATTAAAATATCTGGAAGTAAGAAGAAATGATATATGCAACTGATCGGAAATGGAATATTAGAATAAGTCGAAAATGGAATGATATGAGACGATATACCTAGGAATTGAGAAAGGAACTTGACAAGACAGATGAATTTGGACACAAAAATGTATTCAAATTGGATTTCGGCGAAGATAAACTCGTCTTTTTTTACCAGGTAAGTAAAGAGGAAAAACTAAAAGACAAAAAGAAATATCAAGAAACCGATAATCCTGGGTATAATTATATTTTAGGTTAGGAGAAAATATTGTACCAAAATATAAAAAAACAAAGAGGTAGATACCGAAAGGTAGGAAAAAAGAAAAAGTGAGGGCACACAAGTTCACACTCAACAATACAGGGTGATAACAAATCAGGCATTAGAATAAGGCTTACCACGAGAAATTCATTCGACGGACTGACTAGTCTAGTGAAAGAAAAAAGACAAACAAGAAAGAGATAAGGACAAGGTAAAATGATTTAGGTACAGTTACTTAAATATAGTCACGAATAAACGTAGAGGTAGAAAGTGAGCCAAAGTGATACAAAAAGGTATAAAAAAAGGAGATATGTGTTAAAGAGAGAATTGGACCGTTACATATGGTTTTAAACATAGGCTTGAATACATCAAAGGCGGCACGGCCCAGTGTCCCTTCCGCTTGTTAGTTATTTCGTGTTAGTACTTAATACCTGACCCTGGGTAAAATTATAAACAATTTCGTTTGGGTTAAGTGGCATCACGTGATCTTTTTCCATGCGGCTATTTAAATTTCTCGCATCTTAACATACACGAGCAGATTTATCTTTTTTATTCACCACGCAAAGAGGACTACAAAAACTTCGTTCTAGCAAGCCGTATAACCCCCCACTCTATCATTTCATTTATTTGAGATTTTACCTCTTCTTTGTAAACATGAGGTATTGGGTAACACTTTATGTAAAAGGTCGCCTCATTACGCATGATTATTTCGTGCTCATAGTAGTTGATTAACCCTGATTGATCTGAAAAAATACTTTGAAATGACAAAAGCAGTTCGCATAACTTTTTATACTCTTCATCGAAACACTCCACGCGTTGGACAACCGTCAAAATTTCCTCCTCGGAATAGCATTTCAGTTCCTTCTTTTTAGGAATATCTTCATACTCATTATCCGTAATTTCACTAATTGATATACCGATACCCGGATTTAATTCGTTTCGAAATGATATATTCTTTAATTCCTTATTCGTTTCAAAAATTAAATATTTTTGGTTACATCTATTAATACCTGATTGTCCCGGAGCCAATCGCATCCCAAAATAATATTTCTCGCCAACCCCGGTACAACTAAAACGGATATTAGAATTTTCGATCGCCTAGAGAAAACGAAAGAAAAACCTGTTCTTTCACCTTCGTGGCCTTGTCTCCCAAAGCGCCTACTAATGTAGTGCATTTTGCGGGAATGCGTGGAATTTTCGGTTCTATTTGTAACAATTAATTTAAATATCTTTCGCTGATACCTGTTATTTGGCTACCCGAATCCACAAGACTGGATACCGCGGTCGCTTGATTTTCAATGACAATATCGACAGTCGGCAAAACAGCCATACTTTTACAACTAGGTTCCGGTTCTTCCAAAATCTCGTCGAAATTTTTATTAAAGATAGTCGAAGTTTCCTGCGGTCTATCACTCGAATTTATCTGTCGATTATCATGCCAACTATCGTTATTCGGTTGCCTGTTACCCCTCGAACTGCGTGTATTTCTACTCCGATTTTGATTAAAATCGCGGTTTTGGGCCCCTATCGATACTTTCCTCTAACTTTTCATTTGTCCCTAAGTGTTTCTCTATATTATCAATATTTTTATAGCCCGAGTTCCTTATTCCCCTTCGGATATCATTCGGAAAATGATTAACAATCATTTCGATAAGTTCGTCCTCCATTAACGGCTTTGATAAATACTGAGCCTCCCTGTATTATTTTAAAAAATATTCGGAACGAGATCCGCGTTCGTACTCGCCAAATTTAATTCGAGAAAAAGTTTATCTTTCTTTTTCTATCCCCCAATACCTATTCAAAAATTCATTTTTAAATTTATCGAACTCGGAAAACTGTTTAAGTTCGGCCCAGTCTAACGACGAACCTCTCAGACATCCTATCGCGAAGTACATTTTTTTTCCGTCGGAACGCCAGCCTCGGCTAATACCATCTCTAGTTTTTTAATACAATATACTGGATGGACAAATCCACCTGGTGAAAAGTGTAAATTCGGACTCCCCAGATGTTTCCACACAGTAATGTACTGTCTATTATTAATAGCAAGAGTTTCAACTTGTAAATTATCATTTTCTTTCGAATTACTTGAATTGGCCATAGAAATAATATAGAAGACCAATATAAACATAACATTTAAGCAGAAATTGAAACTTACTGTGCATAAAAACGCGTCTCTGCGCCTGACATCGCAAAATAGTGTGTCTAGAAGCTTGCGCAATAAGCATGACTTGTCCCTGTAGTGTTGCCAAATATATTAAACATACCTAACAGTAAAGAATTTTAAATTAATTAATTTTTAAATTATATGATTTAAACAGTTTATATCTACGAAATATCGCCACAAAATAACTTATAAACATTTAAATAATCAACTAATAATATTTATGTGTAATTACATTCCCAAAAATATATACAAATACCGTATTAATGTCATTAATACCGTATTTTTAATGTTCAATAAGCGATTCACCTACAAATTCAATATTGACCTGGCAATAGCACTAAAATCCGGTGTTTCAAGGCTATATGACGCTGCTCTTACAGGACCGTTTGTAGTTTATTATTTATGCCGCGTTTGAGAATCCACATCGGATGCATCTGAGATGTAGTAAGTAGTAAATCTTTGATCACGTGATTCAGTATACGTAAATGTAATGGGACAGATGTGTCCGATGTGGATAAAAAACGCTCGAGATGTAAAAAATGCATCCGATGTGGATTCTCAAACGCGGCATTAATTACACGATGAAAGTGGCATTTTATTTTTAGTTTTGTGTAGTGTTTAGTCAAATCCTAGGTACAATAAAAGACATTTTTACATTAGCTAATGAAAATGTAATCAATTTATTAGGCAGCTGTTATATTTATTACAAGATTTATGTCTGCAAATCTAAACCTACCTAAGAATTATAATTATGTAAATAGAGATCTGTATATTTATATACAGGCTGCCCAGCGACGGGGAGACATTATCGATATCGGTTTTAAGGCATTTTAAAACATAAACCCGATCTCAACAATCTTAGGAACTCTTCTGTCACTCGATATTTTAATCGGTACTTCCTCTTCGTTTTTTGGCTGGCACAACAATTATTTACATTTCTTCATTCCTTACGGCGTTCGAACCAGTAAGGTTTAAAGAAATTTAAAAAAAACCTACTTTAAAAATAAAGATGTTAATGATTTTCTTATGGATCCCATCTTCAGATCTTGACTTAATGTATATAAAACTGTTTCCTTTTCTAACAAAAAGAATCCTAGAAATCGGGCAACGTGGTAAAGAATTATCGCTCAACATACATAAAAAAATATTTCAACGAATTGAGAATATCCTACCATTTTGAAGTATGTTAAAAAAAATTAATAATAAAGTGAAAAGTAGGGCATGAACACATATTATAAAGTATATAAAATGATAGATAAATCCAGTTTAGAAGGTATTATAAATAAACTGTGGAAATATCGAGAATCTCGATTTTGAATCGGAAAAATATTCTACGCAATTTAGTATGAATGCTGATCAAAATGAAACAAAGTTTATTCCTATTATTTATAAAATAGGTTTGCAATGTGCTGGTGTGGAATGTTATCATCGACTAAAAACTTTAAATCTTTGTATTAAATTGATCGAAAACAAACTATAAATTGGTTTAGGCTATACAATAGAATGTTTCTAGTAAGCAGCAACTAATTTTTATTATGGAACCGAAAGACCCTTTTAAAAGGGTTCAAAATTAAAATAAAATATGTACCAAGTAAATGTAGTAGTATTTTTTAATTTATATTGAGAATGGTAACATGAAAGGTTTTCTGTCTAACGACTCATAGTCTCGGCTGACAAAATGTAAAAAAATATCGAACATAATATTCCTGGGCCCTATTTTGTACTCCCCAGATTAAATTTAGTTGTAGCAAATGATATTATCAAATAAGATGTCAAATCACAAGCAAAATCTCGTGACTACAGTACTAATGATTGCCTGTTTGGAAAAGTATCTTTGTTTGTAAATATTTATATGCATAATTATATTTAAATGCGCGAGTGTAATGTTAAGTATAAACAAAATCCGCCCATTATGTATATACGTTTAGTTACCGACCCTAGTAGATAGGCAGTTTGTTATTGTTTTAAGTTTTACCGTAGGGAGAGAGAAAATCAATATTAGGATAAATGGTCCAGCTCCTTTCTGGTTACGTAGGTACCTAAAAAGTATTTTAGTTTTTGGTTAAGTAATTAATTATTGTAACAGTGATTTTCTTGTGATAGTACCTAATTTAGATTGTGGATTAAAGTTTTTGTATATAATTTCGCTGTTTAATAATAAACGTAGTTAAAACCGGAGCACATGGTTTTTCTGGAAAGTATTTTTAAAATCACAAGCAAAATCTCATGACTACTGTACTAATGATTGCCGAAAATTAACTAATTCATATTTTATGCCTTATCTTTCTTAATAAGGACTGTCAGAACCATATTTACCTTAACTTGAAATTTTTTTAATCGTTTTTTGTATAGAATCATCTCTAAAAATGTATGATTCAAATATCGTGCGAACTATTTGTTCGATCAATAAAAAACTTGCACCGGTCCTGTTCGCGCCAGCACCGTTATACGCATGAGCTCCGACACACTATTTTCTCCTTATGGTTTCATTTTTGATATATGGAATCGGCTTTCTATACTATTTCTATGGAATTGGCCCTATTAATTCTAAAGTTATTTACATCTGTTGAAAGGGTTTTAACCCACAAATCGCTCATCGGCTTATTTATAACTGCCTCAGTTAATTTCGATAAATTCTGATTAACTTCTAACACGTTTTTCTCAATCGCATTTGAAAAACGAAACATTACCCCGTTTAAACTCTCGGACAGTGTTTTGTTTAAATTAACGCTAAACTCTTTAAACGATTCGCACAAAGTTACTTACTGTACAAAAAATTAAAAATTTACAAGCAATCGCACAAGTAGCAATTTATCAACACATGAATGGAGATGTGGATTTATTAAAAAAGATTTGGTAAATGGACCAAACCATGTTTTTGGTAATCACCAACATTGCTTGGAGACATATTGCGATGAATCAGGGAATGTTACCAAAAACCAAATTCCTTTTTTGGAAGACTCTGGTATCATATACCATATAAATGGTAAGTTCTAAAATATTAGGTCAATTTATAATTGTTACGTTATTTTTTAATTTTAATTTTTTTAGCATCCTTAGATCGTGTAGTTGTAAATTCTCATAGTCTGATAAAAAATGAAACAAGTAATAGGGCAGAGTTATTTATGTCACTTTTGTGTAAGTTCAATGCTGGAAAAAGATTGAACCTTACCCAAAAAGGATCCTTCGAAACCAGAGCTTATCTAGCAGCATTAAGGTACAACAAAAAACCAACTTGGCAAAAGGACACCTGGGAACATACAACCAAAACAAAAAACTGGATCATACTTTGATTCATTCTTACACCAGGCTGAGAAAAACCAGGCTACGAGAGAGAGAGAGAAAAAGAACAGGGAATTAAAAGCACTTCCACATAAAAAGAAAACTGTTCATATAGAACAAAAACAAAAGAACCAGTGCTAATGTGGCTATTCCCAAACTAGATAAGGCAAATTACAGTTCAGAAGTTCAAAGAATTTTAAATAGATTGAAGGTATGTTTATATAGTTTACATTACATTTTTATTTTTCAAAGTGAAACAGTATATTTGTGTACCTACTTTAGAATTGTAGCTCCTTAAAGAATATTGTTTACAAATGTAAAATAACTATACTTAACTTTATTATAATTTATTTTAGGTGATGCCTCAAGAAATTGAGGCAATAGAGAAAGGAACGGGTCAGTGGGAAAACAGCCGTTATAGAAGCGAAAGACAAGACACTTACTGCTTCCCTATTTGGAGAAGTGTGTAAGAGGAGGCCGACAACAGATTGCCATAATCTAGTCAAAAAAATTTTTAATTCGGCTAATTTCAGCACCCAAGCTACCCAATATGGCCTGCAAAATGAATCTGTTGCTCTGCAAAGATTTAAGAATCAAAAACCACCAGCAAATAGAAAAAGTGGAATTTTTATACATGATGATACAGGATTTTTGGCTGCTTCTCCAGATGGTGAATATATTATATTATAAATTTTTAATGATTACTCTAATAACTTTTATTTTAGGTCTAATTGGAATGGCCTAATAGAGACAAATAAAAACTTGTGTTTGGAAATCCATACAAATGAAAAAATTTAATTAAAAAGAACACATAACTACTATTATCAGATAAATTAGAAATATATTTTATATTACTCTAGTATAATTGTAAATACAAAAAAGTGTTCAAAATTGGACATATGACCTATGACATATGTTACAAAACCGTTTTGTTTAACCCATATTTATAGTGTGTCTACATAAGTTGGCGACATGTGGATAACTTTATTGATAATTTTTAAAAATAAAGTTATTTTCAATAAAAATATGTGTATGGCATTGATATCAGAAGGTTGCAGTACCGGTTTTAGGCCATGCACAACTTTTTTAGGAGATTAACTTTTTTTCCTAAAATTAATAATAAAAAAAGTTTTCCATATGCCACCAACTTAGGTAGAAACACTGTGTATTTTTGCAGGCTTTGATTTTGCCCTTCCTAGAAATGTACATGTTACACATTACACAAATAAGACTTTTCGCCAGTAGTTACAAATAGGCTTGTTTTGATAAAATAACATAATATTTTTAACATTTTAGATTCAAGGACAACTGAATATTGCCAAAAAAGATATGTGCTTCTTCATATGCTATATAAATGATGACCAAGAAATGCATGAAGAAGTAATCCTGAGGAAGAAAAGTTTTTGGGAAGAAGAAATGTTGCCGAAAGATTTTTGTATGCCTGAAATCATTTACAGAAATATACCTAAAGGGCTTAGAGCAAAAAATAAATTATATTAATTACAATAAATAGATTTTCTTTTTTTTACCTTTATCATTACTGTGAACTAAATAAATATTTTCTTTAAAATAAATACTTGTAACGATTTAATTTTATGATAGCCATAATTATTTTTATTGGATAATTTATTTTAATTAAATAACTTGAGTACGCCACTGGTAAGACCAGAAAATTAAAATCGGTATTCTTTCGAAGTACCTCACTAAAAGTATGCAACACTAATATCACTCGTGTGTTAAATGTTGCCTGAGCATATCTAAATTATAATAAACTATTTTTATACTTCAATATCTATTAAGATTTAAGAACAAGCAGAGGCAATCTCTGGTCTCAGACTGTGATTCAATCTTATTAAAATGCAATTAAGAATTACGAGTGTAATTAACCACAGACTGATCGTACGACATCTATTGACAGGTGTTGGAAGCTAGGCGAGTCCTGCGAATTAAAACCCGGTTTTCGAAGAAAAAAAAAACGGTATCGATAAGGTTCGTTCTTTTTGGTGTTGGAATTGGAAAAAGACACTTGGTTTTACACGTTAATTAATATTAAATGCAGATTCAGTGAAATTTTAATGTAGTTTAAAGTTTCCCTGCCAATTAACTTGAGTTGGGAATGGTGAATTTTAAATGGAAATAGGTGCTCGAGAATAAACAGTCTGTTGCAGAAAAAGCCGACAGGCTTACACTATTTTTTTATGGCATGGACCGCCATTTCATAAGTTTCAACAAGGAAGTCCCTGTCTCAGGGGTAAGTTATAATAATACGTTTAATAAATTTCTTGGTCAATATTTTTGTCAAAAGAATATCACTAGTAAAAACAAGCTAGATATTCATAGGATGTCTCATTCTAGACTTCCTGTGGGATAGACCTCACTTCCTGTGGGATAGACCTCACTTCCTGTGAGTTAGACTCAATTTGCCTTGGTAGTCTTCTCCTTTTACGTGGTAGCCCATGCATTCCAGTAACTGCTCCTGGCGATAGTTTCACGTTTACTTTAGCTTCAGGACCGAAGAACCTACCTGCTGTAGATTTGGCAGCAGTGGAGCTTGGACCTCAACACTGATCCTTCTGGGTCTGAGAAGAACCTAGGGTGGTGGAACTGATGTTTCAGATATCACAAACCTTTTATATATTTTAATTCAGTGATTTCTTTTTTTTTAATTCGACGTTTTTCGAAAAAGCCTTGGACTTCATCATGTGGGGAAAATATATTATAAAGACTTTACTTCTATTATTAGTATAACCCTGCCATGACTAGGTAAAAACAAATAAATTTAATTATGGCTATTAAACCCTATTCTTTACTTAATCTTTAACTATAGGTAGAAAAAATTAAGTTCGATAACAATTTTTTTTAATTCTATTCTGTACATATTTTTTTTTGTAACATCAAAACCAGTTGTTCTATGTATGCGTATGAAACATCAGGAGTATGTAGTCCTGATCACTATAAGGTTATAACTACTTCAATATAATGATGTGCTAATCTATTAAATATATGTATATATAATAAACATGACAGTGAGCATATTCTAGTGTTTTATTCATGGCTGGGAATGGTTGTTAAATAGTAATAAAATTAACACTATAGAAAAATACTTTCTCATAAACAAGTCTATTTGATACTCTGAAAGAGGCTAACTACTTACCCACTACCTGCAGCGAGTGTTCCCGACTTCAAGCCACTGACACATGATTACCAGGTAGGTATAATCTCATCAAGTAAATTTAACTTATCTCTATGGATTATGACACTATGGTATGGAACACAATTCATAATTGCGTTATTTAGTATTTTCAACCAAAACCCTTGGACAGGTTAATTTTTTTACCGTTTTTTTATTAGATTATTCAACTACTTAAACAATGGTGTAAAAAAATTGGTACCTTAAATAACTATTTTTTTTTTGAGAAAATAACATATCGTAAGAAATAAAAATGTAACTTCAATGAAAGAAAATCTGAATTAAACCTCAAAAACTAAACAAAATTTAGCCCAAATGTCAAATTTCTCTCTGTGAATCGTCATTTGGCAAATTGGGGTTTAATTAAAATTTTCTAAAGAATTACATTTATATTTCTTATGGTGTGTTCTTTTCTCAAAACAAACTAGTTATTTAAGGTGCTAATTATTTACACCATTATTTTAATTAAACCATCTAATAAAAAAATAGGGCCATTTAAAAAACCAATGATGACGTCATTGTGCAAAAATACACGACGTCATAATTAAAAAAAATATGTTGCTAGGAAATTAAAAACAAAATTTGACCTGCCTGAGCGTTTTGCTTAAAAATATTAAATAACACAATTAGGAATTTTGTTCCTTGTTTTATCACCACACTATATTTAAAAGGTGTAAAGTAAGAAAATGCAGTTACTTTTCTTTCTATAAAAAAAATAGATACTTATGAAATGGAAAAAAATAGAAAATCTAAAAATCTGGGTACAATTTTTTATGCCAAATTGTTACTTAGATAGTAATTTTTTAATGAAACTTTAAAGCTGTACCTCGTAAAAGATGACATCGAACGTATTATGTACAGGAAGTTTGTAATAATTTGCCCCAATATAAAATTCGAACCTAAATATTCGTACAATATTAATTAATCGCCTATAATTCTTGATAACTTGTTTTTAAATGAGGTTAAATTAAAAAATAGTTTAGTTACAAAATTATAAAACGACTTTAAATGCCATCCAAAAAACTACTCATGATAATTAAGGGATAAAAAAATCATTTAACCACTTATTTAGCGTTGTATTATGGTTCATAGTAAAGCTCAAACTTTACTTTATTTAGAGCTTCTTTAAAAATTTAGGGAATCTCTCAATTTCTTTCAGTCACTGTCTTCGCGTTGGTTGATATTTTGCATGCAATATTTTGCCGCCATTATGATGGTAACTGGTAACAGCCTTATTAAAAATCGAGCACATTACAACGCTGCTTTCTGTAACTAGCTGAAGTGCTTTACAAGAGAAGTCACAATTTCAATAAAAAAGATGAATTCCAAACTTCAGATCACAAAAAGTTACTAAAATTCCCTGTTGCCTCTGATGGTCAAACCTATGAACTACGGATCTAGTGATAAAATGGCGGATTTGGTATTATTTTAAGAATTTCTACTAGAATCCAGTATTTTTTGACAACAACATTTGAATGCAAGATGTTTGAATATATTAGCTTTGCTATGAAGTAGTTTAGTTACAAAATTATGAAACAAATTTAAATGCCATCGAAATAACTGTTCATGATAATTTAGGGTTTAAAAAAAATAATTTAACCACTTATTTGGCGTTGTATTGTGATAAAAATGCTTCATAGCAAAGCTGAAACTTTACTTTATGTAGAGCTCCTATAAAAAATCAGGAAATCTTTTTACTTTTTTAAATCACTGTCTTCGCGTTGGCTGATATTTTGCATGCAATATTTTGCCCCCGTTATTGTGAAAATCGCAGCCTTAAGAAATTCTATGATGAAATTCAGTTTTCTGACAAAAGTAAGACGTTTCTGTTTTTATTTTTATAATTTAAAATGATGTAGAGGTGCCCACAGACTGACATACATGTGCGCCATACATGTATGTTATAAGGGGCCTACAGACGCTCGCGCATGTATTAAGACATAAACGTACATTGATGTACGCGCGGTGATGTTCACCAGTGTGTAGACAAATATTTTGCAAAAAGACCGGCGCACATGTTTTCTGTTCTCGTTTGAATTCAAGTCCGCACAGGTTTGTATGCGCAGACATGTATCCCTGTGTGTAGGCAAAAACTTACGAATTGTGAAACACTTTGCAGTGTCGTGTATTGGTTTTTAAAGGTTACTTATTTTGGTTTGTGAACATGGCAGATATAAGGAGTTATTCGAAAGAATTCATATCAGAGTTCATTGAATTATATAAATCATATCCATGTTTATGGAAAGTAAAAGCAAAAGAGTACATGGATCGAAACAAAAAAAATGAAGCTTACAAAGTGTTAGAGCAAAAACTTCAAGAAGTTGAGAAAAATGCCACGAAAGAAATGGTTAAGACTAAAATTAACAGCCTTCGATCTGTAACGTTCATTTTTGGCCCCACGAATTAATAAAATTGTTTTGGCTTACCTGGTTAATCATACGAAAAAAAAGGGTAAAATCGTATTGATGATATCACTATTA